GTTTGTGTGTGTGTTTGTGTGTGTGTGTGAGTGAGAGAGAGAGAGAGAGAGCATGCCACAAGCTGTGACTGCAATGTTGGGTTGTACAGACACAGTGGTCTGTGTGTAGGACCACGGTACCGACCTTGGCTAGAACATCGTCCTTGTGATGTGGATTCATGGTTGGTCGAGGCCAGAACAACCCAGTGATGGTGGTGGTGATGATGATGATGATGATGGTGATGATGATGATGATGATGATGATGATGATGACGACTTGAGCATGCAGTAACCAAATGAGACTGACGATCCCAAAAGTCCATCAGTGTATCAATTACTCTATTCCGTCCTCTCCCTTGAATTTCGTGGAAATATCCACAAAGGGTTGATAAGCTTCAAAATAAAATATTATATATCTCTAGAAATTGAAGAACTTATTATTCTTTAAAAACATTTTGTACTTGATTTATTAATCATTTTAAGGTTATTTAAGTGGTGGCATCAACATATGTAGTGAAAAATTCAAGAAGTTTGAGAATAAAATGAAGAGAGTATACCCTTTATCATGAGGAAATCACTTGAAACTCAATTTCAGTTGTAAATTAACTAAAAAGAAAGATTTTTAATTATAGTAGGTCTAATGTTTCCCCATGAGTCAAGGACTATGCTGACATTTAACCTACTTGTAATCACAGGCCAGTCTTCTAAGATAAGCAGTTGGTCGAGCCTAATTCTAAATGTCAATTGATAGACACTTTGACGTATCTGAGAGTTTTGTGTTTATCCGAAGGCCACAAAAGAAAAACTATCCAATTCACATTTAGTTTTTGTCGAAATCATTGCCTTTTTGCTTTTTTTGCATATGTGAGGCAGCAAGGTGGAATCAGGCTCTCGTCAATTTTTGAGCATGTAGAGTTATTGATATCATCTTAATTGTCGTTTTTAGGGTGAAAAAAATATCCATTTATCTTGAAAACAAGTCGAGATATGCATGTGCGAAAGAAGGAGGTGGGGTTCACTTATTTTCAGAGGTAAAATTAGTGAGAAAATGGCCGACAAAGATTAGTTATTTCCTTAGCTTAAGAGTCCGTGGTAACTGAAAATTTACATTTCTTGTGCCTTTAATCAACGTTTTTCAGAAAAATCCACACAAAAATGAGTTTTTTAATAGGCAAGAAAGGTGTTGAGCCAAAAAACAAAAATTCGATAAAAATTCACAAACCTGCGGAAAAATGCAAGTTTCTTCACTTTGATTATTTTGACGAGAGCCTGATTCCACCACGCTGCCTCACATATATATGTAGCTCTTTAAAGCTTGGTTTGGAAAATAAGAACACAACAGAAAGCATATTATTGCACGAGCTGTTTTGGGGATTTCAATTTATTTTTCTTAAATATACATGTCATGCAGATTTTATTTTGATCTTGGTTTGTGTTCCGGCATAACTCTTAAGGCAAACACTCACACATGACGTAAGTTTGATCTCAATTTCTCTGCTTTATGAGAGTATTTTGTTTTAGGCTAAATGCTTTTTTTCTACCCTCCAATTGTCAATTTGTTTTGTTATATAATTCATTCTTTTTACTACTATGTATGTACCAAATTTACATTGTTGTTATGATATTATGATGACTATTTTGAAAATAAATTGTAGATTCTAATTTAAGATTTGATACGTCAAAATGAGTGGTCTTCTTGTTTCTCCTATTTTAAGAAACGTTTGTGGACATAGATAGGTGTTGGTCGATTTTATCGATGGGCAGCAGCGTCCTTTAGTTTATTAAGTGTCTCTGAGTACAATGACAATTTGCCTCACATGACTTGTAACGGATGCTGGCACACTTAATCTCTCACTCATATACGCACGCACGCACGCACGCACGCACACACACACACACACATACACACACACACACACACACACACACACACAAACACACACACATAAACACACACAAACATACACTAACACACGTCCACTCATGTCTGTGAGCACTGGGCGTGTGCTGAGAGTCTGGTGAGCACATGCTCATGTCGCTGTGTAGTTGAGCGTGTAACTGGAGACATCGCCGAGTGTCCTTGACGAAGGTGAGTGGTAGGACACCGGTTTTGGGGGGGGGAGGTACCTGACAGCGGACCTGTTGCGATCTCCTTACGCCTGGGTTTGAGACAACAACAACACAAACAACAACAACAAAAACAACAACATCGACAACAACGACGATAACGACCATAACAAAAGTCGTAACAACAGCAACAGCAACAGCAACAGCAAGGTCAGCATAAGCAAATAAATATCAAACTAGATAACAACAACAGTAACAGTCACTTCTACTCCAACGATGTTAGTTTTCAATCACCTATTACCTTTTTTTTTACCCACTTTGAGATGTTTTTAAAACGTGTTGGAACCTTAGTCTTGCAGTGGCCTTAATTAATGTGTTTTGGGGTTCTCTTGGTCATAGAGCTTTCAGACTCGCATGCAAAGACCTGAAAATAATTAACCGAAAGATTTGTTTTTATTCCGTTTTACCGCGGACATACGAAAGCTATCTTATTATACAATGCAGGCAGAACCACCATAAATGTATTTTTCGTTCAACTCATGTTTAAATTTTAATACAAAATATTAACACAATAGGAATTTACTTACAATGTTTCTTAAAGTGATCTCAACTGCCGTCGGTGGCCTAGTGGAAAGGCTCTCACTCTCAGACTCGCAACCGTAAAGTCGTGGGTTCGAATCCCATCAGCCACCCGACGTTGTGTCCATTGGAAATGTACTTTACACGAATTTTCCTCACTTCACCCAGGACGAAATAAGTACCCAGCTGTAGACAGTAAAGGATCTTGTCAGTTTGTTTGTATTTGAGCACTTATTATAATCAGCTGCTTGCACTGTGTACTTCAGGGGAAGCTGAGAATGTTTCTGGGTGTTCTTTGGTCTGCTGCGGTAATAAGATAGTGTAAAGCGCATAGAGCTTGCTGTTGAGCGGAGATATGCGCTATACAAACGCCATTTATCTATTATTATTATTATTATTATTATTATTATTATTATTATTAT